AAAAAAAAACTAACTTTATTACTTTATTCTTACTACACAATGTTCTTACTGAAATTATAAAATTACTCAATGTATATATCACCAATATTGCACAATTAAGCTAGTTGTTGACTTAGGAAATTGATTTCAAGAGAGTTTTGGAAAATTGCCAATTAATAATCCATATATAATAATCTCTAGCTACTCTCCCATAGGCTGTAACCATTCATCAAGCACCAATCTCCTTTCCCCTCTATAAAACCTCTACCAAGACAACAATCTCTCTAATTCATATTCAAGAAGAGTACTATATACAACTTAATATTAAACTCCCATTTTCATATATAAAAAAAAAAAAAATGGCATCCAAAACAATGGAGATAACATTATCACTAACATTTTTTGCCACAATTCTCATCTCAACTCTTCCTTTACCCACCGTGGCACAGTTCGACAATTGCACGGATGAGATCGGGAGCTTGTCCCCGTGCTTCGGTTACATTGGACAACGGGACGAGTTTCCCCCACCCGAGTGTTGTTATCGTCTTGAAGATGTCGTTGAATCAAAACCCGATTGCCTTTGTGAAGTGCTAAGAGGCGATGAAGGTGTCAATAGGACCCGGTTTTCGGAGCTCCCGAGCGTGTGTGGTGTTCGTACTCCGTCATTTGGCAATTGTTACTATGAAGGTAAGAAAAAAAAGGAAAAGAAAAATAAAGCTTTTCTGTAGACCAATAAGATTGTTTTATAACAACTAATAATATGCTCGTTTTTGCATATTTTTTCAGTAAAGAAAAAAAATGTCATACTAGCTTTAAACAATAATATGAATTGAAGTATAACATTTGATAGTACAAATATGTATTTTTGTTTAGCGAGTATGATGGGTCAATTCGCCTAATTAATGCACAATTAGTTTGTGTTATTATAAAGGTTTGAAAAAAAAAACAAAAAATTGACTGCTGATCACTTTCTTGTAATTAATTAATCTCTATTACTCTTATTTCTGCAGACACACCACCATTTTTTTCAGGTAACAATTAATGCATAACAATTTTCTATTATGAATTATACAATTAGTAATATATATTCTGTAGTGAATATCTTTGGATTCTCTATGGAATAAGGTTATGAGTTTCAATTTTAATTTTTTTATTATTATTATTTTCAGGACATTCAACCAAGATGTTGAGTCCTCTGCTGATTTATCTGATGATGATGATAGCTGCCCATATTTTCATAAACACTTGATATGATTTCCATCAACACTTGAACGTCTGTTTAAAGCTATTGTAATGTGACAATTAATTAATCATGTGATGATTGTATTAAGTTTGATTTGTTAGTGTCTACCTAATTATAATTTCCCCTAGCTAGTAAAGTATTATATATCGTACGTAGCTCTTCTGTTGAGAGATTCAGTGTAAGAATTAAGCTAATAAAATCAAAGACAGTATGCCCTATGATATATATATCTCACTTATTCACGTATATATATATATATCATCTCCATATTATGGTCCTTATTGAGCATATATTCTATTATATATGGTATTTGAAAACTTATACTCGAAGCACTCCTCAACAGAAAATTTTATATTAAGAAAATTATTGCATATGTTAGTTGAAATTATTGTTAGAAGTTACACTATTATTGTTGTCTTGTAGAGATTAGCTTTCACATCTTGTTAATCCAAAGGTGGGGACAGAAAAAATAGTTTTTTTTAGTGTATTTTGAGGAATTGACTCAGTAGAGACGGGGTGGGGCCTATATATAGCTTAGAGAACTAGATCACATGGCCACGAACTAGTGTCATCGAACCTATCCTCGCCTATCATCGGTTCAAAAGGTTTTGACAATACCTCTGGGTTCGAAAATCATGATTGGGAGGCCGGTAAACAAGCTGATCGCCGTGCTCGAGTTCTTAACGAGCCGAGTCCGACTTGGCTCGTCAAGTAATCAAACGAGCCAGAAATCGAACTCGATTGGCTTGTGTATCAAAATTAATGCGTCGAGTCCGAGCATTAACGGGTCGATTTCGAGCTTTAACAAGCCGAACTACAAATGAATATATAAAAATTCATTTTTAGAATCTTATCGAGCCGAGCCGAGTATGACTCATTAAATGAAACGAGCTTTATGTGAGCTCGAGTTCAACTTATTTGCCAAATAAGTTGAGCCAAGCCTTAACGAGTCTACTCGAGTCAAGCTCACGAGCAGCTCGTTTTGTTTAACCGCTTTAGAGTATAGACCAATATTGGTAAATACTAAATACTAGTGTTTAAAATACTACAGACAAGTAATAATTGATACCGACCATTGATTTACTACAATCACAGGAAAAATATCGGATAACATCGGTTTGAACTGGGTTCCTATCCTAAATACCGAAAAATAGTGGTCCAAAACACCTATCAAAAAATAAAAAAAAATATATAAAATATAATTTATTATTCAAAATTTTTTAAAATTTAAATTGGTAGTTATAGAATACGTTATTTTATCTTAATGAAAAGTTGAAATTCAATTAATATGGCCATTTATTGTTTCATATATGGCATCATATTATTTATGTATATCATTATAATTGCTAGTTCAATAATATAATCGATATTAACAATACCACGTACCCCAGTAGGACACAAGTAAGGTACTTAAAACATTGGTACTGAATAGGACTGCAAACGAGTCGAGCCGAGTTGATCATGGAACTTATCGAGCTCGAGCTTGACAAGCCATATAAATGACGCTTGAGCTCAAGTCGTTAAACAAATGAAAATGCTCGAAATCGACTCCATGCTGAGATTGGTTCAATGCTTGAGATCGACTCAAGCTCGACGCAAATTTTAACAACTATATATTATGCACATATGACAATTTTGTAAATTACATATATATAAAGAGTATCTAAGTATTTTATTGCATATCTTAAGCCGCTCGTCGTTTGAAAATTCAGGCTCGAAATTGATTCGATAACATATTCGAGCCGCGCGAGCACGAGCTCGAATCGACCTTTGACTCGAGCACTCACGAGCAACTCATAAACTGGTCGGTGCTCGTTTGCAGTCTTAGTATTAATTATAGATTTGTGTACTTTTAAAATGAAAAATCACGCTAAAAGATAAATAGGCTTATAATTATAGACATGCATTTTTCCGCAATTGCCTTAATATTAAAAGATAAAATATAGATTTTATATATATAATATGAATATATAAAAAAAAATGGTGGATGATGAGTTGATGACACGAATACAGTAAGGCATGGGAAGCCTCCATGTGTAAGTTAGTCTCACTTTGTCGTCTAACACGTGTCGTGCCCCGAACACAAACACGTCGCTTTATCCACCGCTTTTCACCACCCATAAAATCCACAACACAAATCTTGAAATCCATTCCATCTCCTTCAACCCTTCACCGTAATAAAACAAACCTTTTGTCTGACTGATTTTAATTTCATTTTCAATAAAAAAAAATGAGTCAAGAACAGCCAAGTAAACCGGAGGCCGTCAAATACGGCGACGTTTTCGACGTCTCCGGCAAGCTGGCCTCCCAGCCCATCACCCCACAAGATGCCTCCGCCCTTCAGTCGGCCGAGAACATCGTCCTCGGCCACACACCCGCCGGCGGGCCCGCCGCCGCCATGCAGTCTGCCGCCGACCTCAACACCCGCCTCGGGGCCGTGGGCCCCGGTGACATAAGCAACGTCGTCAGCAGCCAGGGAGTTACTGTGGCCCAAGCCGATATCGGAGGATATCAAGTCATCACCGAAGCTATCGGCGGACAAGTAATGAAAATCGAACTGCGATTATTTATTTATTTATTTTTTTTTTTTGGGTTTGAAATATATTCAAAAACTTTATTTAAATCTGAGCTTTAAAATTAGATTCGAAATTGACTTTTCAATTTTTTTTTATTTTTTTTTTTTACAGTATAGAAACTTTGTGGGATTTAATTTCTCACTAGTTTTAAATGTTTTTAGAGGTATTTATATTTCCTAAATATTTAACTTAGGTATTCAATTAATTTATTTCCTAAATGTTTAACTTAGGTATACAATCAATCACACCTTCATAAGATTCACAAAATTAAAACAAATCAAGTGATAAATAAAGTGAGTTAATCTTTACTTTTTTAATTCATTTTTTTTTTTAAATATCACCTAAGACGGTGTTGGAATATCACTTGTGAGTGTCCCACATTGATTCTACAGGGAAAATGAGTCTAGTATATAAGCCTAGTGGGCTACTCCTCCCATCACCAATTGGTTTTGGGATGGAACCTCACTAAGGTGCATCTAGGCTCACCCTCTTATGGTGCGCCTTCATCTGGTGGGACCGCACTCTCTTCCCCCGTTTCTAATAGACGGACTTTTAAAATCTGAAAAATCCAAATCACAAAAAGTGTTCAACGATGCCAAATGACAAAAAGAGCTAATTGTAGTTTTTTTCCCGGATATTTTAGGTGGTCGGAGAATACGGTCGGCCAACAGATGTGAAAATGATGACACCCGGTTCGGTCCTTGAATCCGAGGCCATAACCATAGGCGAAGCACTTGAAGCGACGGCACTATCTGCCGGAGATAAACCGGTGGATGTGAGTGATGCCGCCGCTATAGCGGCCGCCGAGGTCCGGGCCACCGGGTTGGGCCACGTGGTGCCAGGTGGCGTAGCCGCAGAAGCCCAATCCGCGGCTGCCTACAATGTTGGAGTCACCCGAGAGAAAGACAAAGCCAAGCTTGGAGATATATTGGCGGTAACTTATGAGTTTTCTATTTTTTCGGGTAATATTGCCGGTGATATCACTATCTTTTTTGAAATTGTAATTTAATACTTTTTCACTTTTACAAATTATATCACAATTTTCGATTTGTTACAACTCGATGCACTAGTTTTGAAAACTAGCCTACTGAATAACAAACTCAAGATTGCCATCTAGTTTGCCTGCACTGATTTGCAAGATTTGCAACAAACTGGAAAGATTGTGGTGATATAATTTGCAAGAGTGAAAATTAAATTGCAATTTTGGAAGTCCTTGGCAATTTTGTCTCTTCTTTAATTATTAAAGAAGTGGGGGAAAATGTTGTAATCCATTGATTTATTTTGGTAGGATGCGACTACGAAGCTGACCGATGACAAGGCCGCGACTAGGGAAGATGCAGAGGGAGTGATATTTGCGGAGGTTCGGAATAAAGTTGACATGGCCACACACCCTGGCGGCGTGGCGGCTTCGGTGGCAGCGGCAGCAAGGCTTAATCAGGAGAAGTGAACATGATTGGGTGATGGTATGATAAGACTAAGCTACTTTGTGATTGTGTGTGTGTGTGTGTAAATATGAAGGTTAAGTAAGGCATGTTTGTTTAGTAGTATGTGTGTGTAATGTTTGTGTCAGTGTAGTTGTTACTTGTACTACTAGTATGTGTGTTACTCTCGACTGGTGTGTGATATAATATACTATGTATTCCGTATGTATGACAATGTCGTGCTTTTAGTCGATACATAGTTTGTGTTGATGCAGTTTTTAGTTTGTGAATCGCGGTTTTGTACCATTTTTATATCTATTTTACTTGCTAAACACACTCTAATCGTGTCCTAATAATCATTTCTCTATAATCATGTTTTTTAAGATTGTCATTTCCTTCTAATCGTGTTCTCTTCATCATTATTTCTCTACAATCATGTCTTTTAAGTCAGTTGTTTTTATAATTGTGTATGCTAACCGAGTAGTCCAAGCCATTGTGCCTCTAATCCAAGCCCAAACACTTGAAGCTGCCACCAAAATGTGACAAGTTACGTAAAATAGCAAACAATGTGTCATTAGATCAAAGCATATACTAATATCTACCACAAGTTTTGCAAGATGCTTATAAGAAACTAGGCATTGTTATATATGACACCTCCCCAAAAAAAAAAACTTCATACCTTCTTAACACCACGAATTTTCTTGGCCCTGTTCTTCCTTTCCTTCATTTGTTTTCTGGCCCTGTTCTTCCTTTCCTTCATTTGTTTTCTGGACTTCTCTACCTTGGTATCGAGACCGTTCTGAAACAAAACTTGCACATCTCATCAGAGAAACTATATACTGGGAATATTGCCTTTACCAGGAGCCGTGTTAAAAAACGAAGAAAGAAAATCTGCAGCATTTCATCTAAATACTCCTTTTGTCAAAATGTCATTCATCGTGAATACTAATAGAGTAACGAAAACTTCTAACCATTTTTCAGCAAATGATAACAATTAGCAAAGGGTTAAAAGCTGCAGGCACCAAGAGGAATGTTTTAATTAGATGAAAAAATGAACATCAAAATGCAAGTAATTTTCTGATATATTCACCAGAGCAATAATAAAATCAGCATCTGAATAACTTACTACAATCAATAGTTATTGGTTAGGGAACACAGTTAAAAACGTATAATTCCAGACGGCCACGAGATTCAGCAAATGCTACATTGCACATCAAGATTACTAGCTTATGAGAAAGAAGACTCAGCCGTGAGTTCTGCAAATTAGGCCAGCGAAAATAAACAAATCTTATAGCTCAACGATACATAATAGGACGTTTCAGTACAACAGAGTTCTAAAATTCAAGTTAAATTCCGAGATATGATTCTTCATTAGGAAAATAGATGCAATGTGATTTCATATAGGCTTTAGAAAATGCTAGCGCAAAAAATACGAGAGTAATGGATATATGAACAGCTACCACAAGTACCAAAAAGAAAATAATTTACCCTGATTAGCCTGTATTTAGGCTCGAATTTCTTAGCACTCTCCACAGAGTCGTAGATCAGGCCAAACCCGGTGGATTTGCCACCACCAAAGTGAGTCCTGAACTTGAACACAAATATGCCATTCGGGTCCTTAACCTCATACATCCTGGCCAATTTCTCCTTCAGCTCAGCCTTCAATAGAGTTATGGCAAATGCAATTGAGAAAGGGAAGCAATGTCAATAACCCTAATACACTTCTCGTATAGAAGTATTTCCTAAAATTTCATGATGACCGATAATATATATTCACAATCTATGCAGGCTGTGATCTGACAAGACTAAACTTCAAGCGGTTCTAATTTTTTAAGAATCATGCTTACTTCCATTCCTTCCCTACAAAATTGACATAAATATCAAGAACCTGACATTTCCCATTATAATTATGCACTTTTGTTCAATACGACTAGTAGACAATCATTAGTTTGCCTCACACAGTAATTTGTGAGTCCCACTAAGTTACAATCACTCAGTATGCAGCAAGATGAAACTAAAGTTATAAACACCTAAAAAGTTCAGAAGCATTTGTGAAACAAATATACTGTAAAATGAGTTCATACCTTAGAAACATTGGCTCTTCCTGGATGCAAAACATCAATAATCTGCAAAAAAACAAAACAATAAAATGAAATACAAATCGTAAACAGCCATCGCAAGAAAGCAACTTTTTTTATAGAAAAAAAGGATTAATTAACATACAAATTGCTTTCTGGAGAGGAGACGATTTGTCATGAACTTCCTCGTCCTGATTGTCACTGCCTTGTCCGCCATTTTCCTGTGACAAACGCACAAACAAAACGATGGAGAAATTCAGAAAAATGCCATGTTAAGGCCATCTCCAGCCCTTATCTCTACTCTAGTGCGGACATTACTCTACTCTAGAGTAGAGTTAGAACATTCATCTTCAACCTTTATCTCTACATTTTACTTTACATTAAATATATTATTTTTTTATTTATTTTTTACATTAAATATATTATTACTTTACATTTTACCCTAGACCATATATGGTCTAGGGTGTAAATATTAAAAAAAAATTATAGCGCGGATGAACAGTGTTGCGCTACATGTGGCGCAACACTGTTCATCTCTCTCAACTGGCGTTAAAATGTGGCGCTGCATTGGAGAATAATATTGACACAACTCTGGCCATATACTCTACTCCAACGTAGGGTTGGAGTTGGTCTAAGTAAACTTTTAGCTCAAGAGGAGGAGATAGTGTTGGTGTTGACATACGGTGTCGTTTAAGCATATTCTCGGCGGACAGCTACTCAGTGGATGTAATGAGTTTCTTTTGACATACGGTGTCGTATAATGCGAGATATCCTTTAGAATTAGGGTTTTGTTTAATGGGTTGATAAGGACCGGAACAAAATAATAATGGGCTTTTGTAATAGAGTGCCAAAACTAATGAGAAAATTACATAGTTTACTAAACATTTACAACATTATTGCACATTTACAACCCTTACAATAATGCTAAAGAGCCAACAGTTGGTTCCGTTACGGAGCCAACAACCAATGAGACAACTCCAGGTGGGGGCTGGCCCACAATACTTTAATGTGGGACAACCCCACATGGAGTTATCCAATTGGTTGTTGGCTCCATAACGGAGCCAACTGTTGGCTCCTTAGCATTACTGACAACCCTTATATATTTATTAGCAAAGTAACTAACTATTATTATATTATTTACAGATATACTAGAAGTTGGTTTGAATAGGTAAGTACTCTAGTTATATAGTTTCTCTCTCCTCCTCATCCCTCTCTCTGTCTTCTTCATAACCCACGTACATCTCTCTCTCTTCTCCTCATCAATCTCTCTCTCTCCTCCTCAACTCTCTCTCTATAACCCGCTGCCGGAACAAATCTAGCGTGCTGATGGTGCACTCCGCGACTTCGCCAAGTTCTTCATCATTGTTGGCTTCTCGAGCGTGTTGATGGTGGACGAGCGACAATTTACGATGGTTGGGGAGATTTTCGATGGTGGACTCCATCGTTTTCCTCTCGTCGCACAATTCTCGGTCGCAAAAGTTGGCAACAAATCAGACGATTTCATGCGCTGCCGATGTATTCTCCGAGTCCGTGCGGCGATGAAGGTTGATGGTGGAGATGGCGGCCGCGCGGGAAGGGGGACAGTGGGCGCGTGGATTGGGAGTTGATGGAGCTTTTAATGGCGTTATTGGTAGGATGATATTTAGTTATCGTAAACTCACAATCGACAGTATATCTTGCGTATATATGCAGTATATGTTCAATATATGTTTTCGTTGCCCGCGCTTCGTATGTTTTGTCGCCCGCGCTTCGTATATTATATGTATATATTCTTTATATAATGACCAAATTTCTATATATCTGTTGTATATTTATTGATGTCGTTTGTATATAATGAGTATATATTTTGTATATCTTCCGTATATAATTCTGATTATGTATTTTGTAGGTATTTAACTGGAAAATGTACTCAGAGTACGCAGAAAAAAAACGAGATATAACTAACACAAAAATTGAACAATATTCCTAGATATTAGGATATATACACTTATTACCATATATTTTGATATTTTTTCAGTAAAAAAGGGCAAGCAATAAATACTTCCGCAATTTAAGGATAATTGATCCTTTTTTTTTGGTAACTGCATCTTATAATATTGGCAATTATTTCCACACGTTTGTGTAGGGATGCAATACAAGATTTGATCATGGTATTTTTATAAATATTTTGATTTCATTAAGTATAGATAAAATTTCCCACAAACTAATTATATAGCCCAATAAGCCCAATCAGGGCCATTTTCAAGAAAATTACTCCACCTATCAGGCTACCATGAAGCCACATGAAGATTAATTTTATTGAATTAATTACCCAGGGCACGGGCGGAACTTTCGAGGTTGCCCATTTAACGAGATAAAAAAATCAATCGCACATTACAACCCATTAAGTTAGATTTACGAATTTTTTAATAATTTAATTCCACCTTTATCACTATTAAAATAAATTATATCTATTATTCCTCTTCCCCAATTTTGGCACATTGAAGAAACAGAAACACGCCCATCATCGACAACGCACGCCATAACTCATAAGGTCCGACTTCTTGAAGGTTGTCAACGGATCCGACATCACAAGAGCTTATCCGCCTTCGCCACGCACCACCGGCAGGAAGTTTGCATCTTTAGCGCTATCCTAACCGTCGCCAACATTACCTTCGATTCGAGATCTATGTCCGACTGCTTCCTCTCTCTGTCGGTGTCGACCTCCGCCGTGATGCTCAACATGTAAAAGCCTTGAGATTAAATTTTTGGTTTGGTAATTTAGGGTTTAGCAATTTTTTTTTTTCTTTTGTTGTAGAAATTTCATTGATTGATCTTTGGATCTATGGGTTGCTGGGATTTGTTTGTAATTTATGCTCAATTTTCCTTTGATATTTGAAAGAGACTTTAAAATTATTACCCATGATTGAAAATTTTTATCAGATCTTGAGTTTAGGTGATTGGATCTTGAGTTTAGATGAGTAAAAGGTTGCTATATTTGTGTTTTTTAAGGATTTTGAGAGTTAATTTTATGTTTTATTGATGATTTGATTATGTTTATTAATTGTTTATTTTAATCTTATTTTTAGTTTATATTGATTTTTTTTTTCATTCGATTTTTTTGTTCATTTAATTTTTCGTGATTTTGGGAAGAATAGATCATAAATTTAAGATTAATCAAAAGTTTCAAATTAGTTTAAATAAATTTTAGACATCATGCAGTAAAGTTAAAATAAACTGAAAATAAACTGGAAACAATCTAAAAGAATTATTGAAGAAAATGATAGAATTAAACTATAAAAAAACTTACATATAGTAAAATATAGATAATAAACTTAATTACATTTATTAATTGGTTTTTTATTCTTTATTTTTAGTTTATCTTCAGTTTTCTTTTATCTTTATTTTTAGTTTATCTTCAGTTTTTTTTTAGTTTATCTTCAGTTTTTTTTATCTTTATTTTTAGTTTATCTTCAATTTAAAACTAAAATTAGTTTTAAATAAAAATATTTGAGAGTTGTAATAAACACAAGATAAACCTAAAACCATAAACAAGAAATTTATGAGGATTTGATTACGGTGTTTTTATCTTTATTTTTTGTTTATCTCCAGTTTTTTTTTAATTCAATTTTTTTATTTAATAAAAATATTTTAGTTGTAGTAAACACAAGATAAACCTAAAATTATAAACCAAAAGTTTATAAAATAAAACGTAAGCAGAATAAAATAGTGAATCAAAAGTTTACAATTAATTTTAAATAAATATTCAAAAGTTGTAATAAACTCAAGATAAACTTAAAACTATACATACATTTATACGACAGAATGCTGACTGATTTAGTGTTAAAAAAACATTGAAGTATACAACTGGCATTCATTTTAAAGAGCCGTCTTTTTGGAAATGAATTTTTCGAGAAGATCAAATGTGTACTTTAGCCCAACCTCGAAAGTTCCGCCCGTGCCCTGGGTAATTAATTAATTTTATTTGCACATATGTAAACCTTAATTTTTATTTACATCTATACTAACACCTTTATTTTTATTTGTAACTATGGCCTTGTTTGGCGATCAGCGGATAGCGGATAGCGGATAGCGAATTATATTAGTTGATTTGACTAGCGGATTGCATTAGCGGTTTTTAAATAAGTGTTTGGTAAATAGCTGAAGGCTTATAGCTGTTTGACATTGCAAATTACCAATAAAGACATTTTATTATTTAGGGTGTATTCTTTTAATAATAATATATTAAAACATTTAATATTTTTTAGTTGGTAATTTATAAATATCTATTTTTTTTAAAAAAAATTACTAACAATTGATCAAGAAGTTATGAATTTTACATTTTTCTAGATAAATTAATTATAGATGACATATTATTATTTGTTAGCATCATAAACCAATGTAGATTGTAAAATAAATAATACAAATTAAAAAGTTCTAAATTAAAATTGTAGATTGTGAATCCTCTATCCCCAAAAAGCTCCTCTAATGAGCTTTTTCTAAATTAGAGTTTTGGGCCTAAAAAGCTTATCAAATAAGCTATTTACCAAACAAGCTCAATAGCGGATTTGACGGGCAAACCTCTCAATTAAGTCCAATCCGCTAATTTATCCTCAATCCGCTATCTTCCAAACGGGAACATTCTTTATTCTCTCTTTTTCTTATTTCTTTCCTTTCTTTTCCCGTGGTTTCCCCATCTTCTCCTTCTCCCATCTCCTTCTTCCGAATTCTCACCATCTCCTCCTATCATTCTTTAGCCTTGAATATTTATTTTTTATTTTTTTGTCGACTGGGAGATATCTCTACATTCACTCCACGACTTTACCACCACTGCAACCCACCAAGTAAAGTTAGCAGCAGATTAAAGAGTATTAAGCCACTACCTACGAGGCGCACTCAGGTTTTTCCAAAGTTGGAGGAGATCTTGTGAGATGCCACCAATAATTAGCAGATCTCGTTCAGACCGACCACATCGTCGACCAATTAGACGTGCCATCATCCAGGACCGTTGTCGAGCCGCTCCGCTCGTCTTTGTTTGAAGCCAGAGACCCTTCGGCCACAGACGAGCACCGTCCAAAGACTGTCGATCCGTCGTCGGGCAAGGAGCCCCAATGTCCCGTTCAACCGCCACTACCGAAAGGTGGTCTGTATGTGTGTGGATGACGAGAGATAAAAATGGAGTGTTTAGAAGTAAGAGACAAAATTTTGGTGGTCTACGTGGAAGAATAAGAATAAGCAAAGAGGAAAATTTAGATGTTGGAATTTTGGATCTGATGACGTTTGATTTGTGTATCGTACATGTCTTGAATTCTTTATATTTTGGAAGATTTCAATTTATATTTTATGTTACGTTGTGGGTGGGATATGTTGCGTTTACATGTAGTATATTTTTCAGAATACGTTCTCGTAAGCACAATCGACAGTATATGTTACGCGAATAGGCAGTATATGTTCAATATATATTTTCGTTACCTGCGTTTCGTATGTTTTTCACCTTGCACGTGCTTCATTTGTTTATCATATATCCTACATATACTAAAACAATTTATAAAATTAACGATTATGATCAATTTATGACATGTATATGATAGGTTATATACT